CAAAATTTATACCTTGGGTCCAAATGGACCCGAGCCCCGAGTGTTAATAGACTGCGAACATTCATGTAAACTGGCACCTTCTTTTCTTAATTTCTATAATATAAAGAAAAGGGAAATTGAAGAGATTAAGACCTTTTGAACAGTAATCTCAGGAGATACTATTGAATTACATTATCGTGCAATTTAATAATTTATTATGCAGACGTTGCCAATTAAACATTGTATGTATCATATGTATTATATGTAATATAACCAGCGGTGAGCAACTTCGTAATATTTGGTAGACTGTGCAATTCCGCTGTTACATTTTTTAATGACATTTACATTTAATCATTACGGTAGTTAATTTATGATCATAACCAACTGAATGGTGTACTGTACGTATGACATCGTTATTTTAATAATTAGAACTATAAATTAAATAAGATTCACATATATATGCAATATTACACTATTCATATATAATAAAATATATATATATGAAATATATATATATATATATATATATATATATATATATATCATATATAATAAAATATATATATATATTTCATATATATATTTTATTATATATGAATAGTGTAATATTGCATACATATGTGAATCTTATTTAATTTATAGTTCTAATTATTAAAATAAAACGATGTCATACGTACAGTACACCATTCCCACATACACTATTCTATATATTATATATATATAAAAAATATATATATCCTATAATAAAATTTAATAATTCCGTGTCACCGATGACACGCAACGTAACTCGTGCAGTGAAGTGTCAACTCTGTCGCGCTAAAAACTGACTTCAGTCGTTGCCGACAAAGCGATCTGCGGGTACTGGCGCCGATTATAATCGTCACCGTAAATTATAATAAGAGAAACTCGTAAATTATAATACTTTTCCAGTATATCAACCCTTATCAGTTTAACGACCACGCATCTCATTGTAAGATTTATCACTTGCTGCCGCCATTCTTTTATAAAACTCGTGCCAACTCTACAAGCCGGACGTGCGTGTTGCTTATAAACTTAGAAAATCACAATTAAATCACATTTTTTAATTATAAAAGCATTTATATTTTTTCTTATACATGTTGATAAGCCGCAAACAATTATTCGTAAATGTAGATCGTAAATGTATTTACAAGTTAAACGAATTTATAAAAACAAAAACAAAGGAATCACAAGGAATCATTTAGAAAAGTTTCTTTCCTTGTTAGAAAACTAAAATTCGCCCAAAAATCCGCATTCCAATAATTACGCATATATGGGCGACATAATTCTGCACCCGCCATTAAAAGTTGTAATATAATCTCGTAAATCGAAGTTCACTCGGATTTGTAAAACCTAAACGGATTAAAGGACTAGCGGCCGGTCAAACTCTCTAGTTTGAGTTTCGTTGATTAAACTGCACCAATTCTATGGGATTTTTCGAGGACGACTTTGGCGGTTCAGCAGTCGACGTGCCGACGGATTAATAAAATCCGAATCGACGGAACTGTGAGCATCGGCCAAACTCAAAGGTCCGACCGCAAATCTGTAATATTATCGTAAACGTGAAATTTCGCTCGGCGAGCCGTCCATTCAATCGCCGGGAAACACGAGGCTCGCTAAAGAACGCGTAGAAGGCGGCGCACATTTGAAATACGAGCGTCCCGCTCCTGCTTTTGCTAAAGCGACTCCTTTGAAAGACCGAGAAGCATCAAATGTCATTCCCCGGAGGCCGCGCATATCCGCCATTAAACGGCGTAAACCACCAACGGGCAACCGTGTCGGTCGGTCCTGTTAATTTCAAATGTAACCGTATTGCTTGAGAAATGGCCATCGCTCCTCTCTACGCATACTCGATCTGTTCGTGCCCATGAACCGCGGACGTTCATGCTTGAAAACAGTTCTGACGGAGCGGGCGTAACGCAGGCAGCCGAGGATCCCAACTACCAATCGACACCGAAAGCCCACCCACGCAGTGTGAAACAGTCATTAGCACTTTGACTGCCTCGACGGCAACCACAAAAATTTTATACAACTAAAGTGTTTCATTGCATCGGATTAAAATTGCAAAGCTACGTTGTACGGCACACAGTGGTTCGGATCGAGAAATTCAGTGACTTTTTATCATAATTTTTTTGAACCATTAGAAATATTGCAATGAAATTTTCACGAGAAATATTAAAAAAAGAAACAATCATTTTTAACTGTGGATAACTAAATATCTTTTGCATTTGATAAACAATAATTTTTAATTAATTTTCATTGATATTGTTTATGAAGAAGAAAATTGTTTAAATACAATTTTACAAACTATTTTTTACTTTTTAAGTACGTATTTCATATTTATGTTTCATACATGGAACGTTTTATGAAACACGTAAAATATAAAATCAAGAAACATTTTCGTAATCAACGCATACAAAAATGACCGAAAAATTAAAAATGCATTTTATAATAATTGATAATAATTGTAACGCCATTATTTACATGAAAGTATACTGAAAATAATCTACCACGTCACAAAGTGGAATTTTGTGGAATAAGAAAGATATCATCTATTAAGAGTAAAGAATTTACTTACTGCATTCTTTTTACTGCATTTAGCATAATATTCCAACAAATTTGTCTTATTGTTCGTTTATAAAGATGTGATTTCTTATCACAAAAAATCGCAAGTGACGTTTAAAAAAACAGATACGTACGTTAAGTAATATCTTTAAAATAATTTAAAGAAGGAAGATAGTTTTCATAGATAAAAATACTGTCTTTAAAATGTCTAGCTTTGAATGATTATATTATTTAAAATTCGCGCTGTATTTTATTAATTCATTCGTGAGGTTGCAGAACATTTAGAAGGTAATAAGAGTTCAGTAGATATCGATAGTAGAAAGATGATTTTTTTGACAAAATGNCATGGAACGTTTTATGAAACACGTAAAATATAAAATCAAGAAACATTTTCGTAATCAACGCATACAAAAATGACCGAAAAATTAAAAATGCATTTTATAATAATTGATAATAATTGTAACGCCATTATTTACATGAAAGTATACTGAAAATAATCTACCACGTCACAAAGTGGAATTTTGTGGAATAAGAAAGATATCATCTATTAAGAGTAAAGAATTTACTTACTGCATTCTTTTTACTGCATTTAGCATAATATTCCAACAAATTTGTCTTATTGTTCGTTTATAAAGATGTGATTTCTTATCACAAAAAATCGCAAGTGACGTTTAAAAAAACAGATACGTACGTTAAGTAATATCTTTAAAATAATTTAAAGAAGGAAGATAGTTTTCATAGATAAAAATACTGTCTTTAAAATGTCTAGCTTTGAATGATTATATTATTTAAAATTCGCGCTGTATTTTATTAATTCATTCGTGAGGTTGCAGAACATTTAGAAGGTAATAAGAGTTCAGTAGATATCGATAGTAGAAAGATGATTTTTTTGACAAAATGTTACCGAATTTCTCGATCCGGACCTCTGTGCGGCATCTTGTAGGTTTTCAGTTTTTCTATTACGTTTGGTGGATCCTAACAAAATTAGGAAAATGCAGTAGATTAGCGTAAGAATAAATATTTAAATTTGAGCTAATAGTTCAGTCGTCTACATATGTATGCGTCACGAGCGAACTCCTTGGACTTTTACTTGACACACGCAAACGGATTTTATATTTATCATTAGATAATAACTGAATTAAATTAATAATTAATATATAATAAATAATAATTAATAATTGAATAGCACACGCGTTGTGTGTAACGTACCATGACGTACTTCAAAAATTCTCATAAAGGATGTTCAAATTACTTTCGGTATCTATGTATTAATGATTTTGAATCAGAAAGCTTGTAAATCATTATATACGTTGTAAGATTAACTAACTTCACTGTTTATTTTATATATTATATATTATTTATATATTATTATATATTATTATTTATATATTATTGTAATATCCATTTGCAACATTTTATGATTTGGAAACCTAACGGCGCAAATATTATTACATATTTCTATTAGTACAAATCAAAAAGCGTTAGACAAAGCGTCAAGTATTAAATACTGAAAATCATTAATACTAAAATGAAAATTATAGTTATCCCGAAAAATTCATTCTAAATTCCATAGACATTGCATACTCATCGACAGAATTGTCTACAATTTCTGATCAACTGTACGAAACCGGTCTCGAAAGATACGAGAATCGACGAAGCTGGTTTCGAATTAAGCAAAGTTGTATTAATAAACGTTGCTAACTAACTAACACCATTACGTGAATTTATGCGATTCGAAGAAAGTACTTCCCATAATTGGGAAGTGTATCGGACCCAATCGAATTAAGCAATTACAACCACAGTTATGCCAAAGATTTCGATGAGCACAGAATTTAATCAAATGTTCTCTGTGCGCGTACTGCGGATCCGACAAACGGTAGTTTAGAGTAAACCTCTTGCATTTAAGCGTAATACACAAGATTCTGTAGCATCACAGAAAACGAGAAACAGATATTGTAGCCGTTAAGCGTATGTTAGCAGTTTGAGCCAAAGGTACGATAAAATCGTTGGAGGGTTCCGGTTCGCCGAGCACCTTTGTATATCAATTGATTCGATAATCCCGGCAGGGAAACGGGAATGATTCCCAGGAGGACTCCGCTCGCCGTTGCTATGCTGATTTTTCCCTCATTTTTTCAATGGCCGGGCGCATTCAACGAAATTTATCGTTCGGACGTCACTGTCCATTTAGGGACTTCGCAAAACCGTTCGATTGCAATTTATTACACGACCCTGCGTACCATGATCGCTACTTCTCAATTACTCTCAATTGAATCGCAATTGAGACGCAAACAAACGCTTTGTCTCGCAGAAACGATAACATTAATCATTGCGCGGCTCCGGGAAAATTAGTGCATGGAAATATACGAATAACGGGACAAGGGATCACCGTTGGTACACCAATGGGTTCCATTCTTACACTCGCCGGTCGGATTGTGTACGAGTCAATTATTTATTTATTTCAACGACAACGTAATTTGTTTTCATGACGAGGTAATGTGTCAGTAATCCTATTACCAGCCATGTTGTTCCCTCCGTGCATATTAAATAATTCCATGCGCCGCTAGGCCGCGTTCTGCGTCCTCCATTGTGGAACGCTGAATACGTCGGCAAACGTGCAAACTTCGTGACACGTCTATAGATTCATTTTTGCTCCGATCGCTGATGAAAATTCATTTTTTACATCGAACATAATTGTTCACCCTTTCGTTCTTTCACCGGGTATCCGCGTCACGAAGAAAAATTCCCGTTTTACGGAATAATTAACGAGTTATACAATGGAACTAATGTTCCATTGAAACCAAACAACCGGTTTCGCATCGTCGCTTGAATGAAAATGGAATCCCTTCGTAATAGGCAGAAATATGTAGAATGGCTTTGCACGCGTTCCAATCTGACGTTCCGATGTAGGAAATCGCTATTTGAAAAAGAGCATTTTTGCATTATCTACTCAATACTGAGAAATTCTTACAACTACTTTCAAAGCGGGCCTTCTTTTTTGAGAAATCTGAATTTAATGTCTTGTTTTACGGTTGAAATGTATCGCCGCAGTAGTAGTAGTAGTATCAAAAATAAAGTGCTACTTTAACTATTTACTATGAGTAGATAAATGAATGAAAAGCTATTGAAAGTTGTTTCAACGTTCATTAAGAAAAAAATAGATATTTTGTTTTAGAATAAAATTTACCTTTATACTGAAAACCATAGATATAGGGGTGCTGCATATCGACTGCTTTGCTGTCATCGTTCTGCAACAAAAAAATAAAAGAAAATTTGTTCGCATTTGCCGAAACATGTACAAGAAAGCCCCGGAAGTAACTTTCTCATTTATTTATTTATCTATTCACAATAAACAGTTAACCCTTTACACTCGAAGCAGAATTAACGGAAAATTGAATATTGTGACCCGTTACGCTTTCAGCAGTTCTTTAAATATAAACAAATTTGATTAATAAAACTATTTTGAAATATGACATAACAATTTTTAATGTCGTCTCGGCGTCGCCACTCGAGTGCAAAGAGTTAAATAAGTGCTTTATTTACTGTGAAGTTATCCATTAACTGCAGGACAAAACTACAAGCATACTACAAGATTTCTCAAACAGTGATTTACGCATCCGAGGATTCTCTTTTCGAGGTACGAGTAATGAATATCCTGTTCATTGAAATTGATTTCTAAAATTTCACGGACGAGCGTAATTACCTTCTAATGATTCGAGATTAATGTACGAAAGTTATTAAACATCAAGAGGTTAATTGCATTCAAAGTTGGCGGCCCTGGCCAGCGGTTTCCTTCACAATGGAAAATCGGCGGGGCTCGCGAGTAAGTTGCGAAACCCCAGAGTCTTAAAGTCGCCGACTGTTCCGGAAACTTCATTTCGCGTCGCGTGGGACAAGGTATGTGAAATTGTAGAATGCGAGTCACGATATTCCTGCTGGATTCGACGACAGTTCCGTTTGGCATGTCCACGGGCGGCAGTCTGTTCGATGAACGGAAAAAGAACGAACTTTCCACTATATCTTATTGCCTCGCACCTGTCCTGCGGAAGCTTATGGAACTTTAACTGAAAATAAGAACTAGCCAGGACACCTGCAACATTTTATATCGCGCACCGACACTTTCCCGACTCTTACATATTTCAGCAGCCGAAACATAAATTTTTTGACGAATCGAGGGAAAGTTTGCCAATACTGTACTCTTAAGAAATTTTTGATCCTCCTGGGAAGTTTGGTATGCTTTTTTGGCACTAAACCTACCACGGTCACGTCACCGTTTCTCATCTTACAAATAAATAAAATGATAAGAACGCTTCCATTGGCAAATGATCGAATCTAAATAAATTCGATCTTCTCACTGTTTCAGAGTATAACAATCATATTTACTGTTCGGTAGGTTTAATGTTAAAAAAAGTAGTTAAGCCAAATGTCAGGATAATGTCCTGTTCTAATATACCATTAAAACAACATATTTACATTGTTATTTTACATTTTGAAATATGGAGTATCATAAAATGATAACAAGAGATCGTAGACTAATTATGTAGGCTCGTTGGAAAGAGATGACTTTATTTCTCAAAACCACAGTAACTTCATTTGTGAAAAAACGTGAATCTTTTAAAGTTGTGTGAAATTGAGAAATTGTTGAAAATTATGACGTGAGTTTGATAATATAAATTACATTAATAATACAATATAATATTGATGATGTAAATAATAAATTATATACAAATTCTGGAACAGAATAATTTATATCTATTAAAAGTGGAGATTTGAAGGCGCAATTTTTGAAGGCTTCTTTCATCAATACAACAATGATTTCGCTCGCCAAAAAATTTGTTTACCTCCTGAAAAATGTGTGAAATTAAAAAAATAGAGAAGAGGACCATTTTGACATATTGCTAAATAAAATAAATGGAATGATTCGAAGAATGAATTTTTCGTTTGACGTTGTTTTCATAATTATTCAAGGATCATTGAAATCTTTTGAATAGCACCACATACACCCGAATCCCGTTATACACGGTATTTTTTTACACAAGCTAAATTTTCCTAGTTTTTTTTTATATTATATTAACGTGGATTTTCAAACATGAAAAATATGATTTCCTTCTGGCTTGTAGAACACGAATTTGTGTAGTATAATCGTAAAACGCATTAAATATTTAATTTACACGTTTCATGATTATCCTTTGCATTTTTTTATAAACATATGTTTGTGAAGGCCTTCATGAACATCAAATGTGACGTGCATAGCGTGAAACGCATCTCTCGTTTTATACTAGGATTTGCATAAAGGAAAATGCATCGTAATTTGAATGCAGTAATTAAATTATCTCCATAATTTGATATACTAGGAAAGTGGGATTGTACATACAAAATTCAACTATTTATTTCATCTTTAAGATGGCGGCCACCATGGTTGACGATAAGTAATAGAAAATAAGGATACGTTTATTCAAGTGACGAAAATGAATTAATTTTGTTTGTGTATGTGTTATAAGTGAAAGATATATTGCTATTACGAATTAATATATTTATTAATAATTGATGATTAATATAAGATTCTTAATACATTGTACAGAATCTAATAAATCTGTAATCTCGAAAACACTTCATACACATACACTCACACTCACGCACACACGCGCGTGCGCTCCTATTACATTCAGTTAAATAAATTTGCCAATTGCATAGGATTCATTGATATATATGTTACCGTGAATGACCGAGATTGGAGAATGTCGACTTTCACCGGTGAATGTCAATAGATACCAAATACGTCGGTGAAAGATCGAATATTTCATTACATTGTTGTACATTCGGACCCTTTCCGGTGTGTGTCGACAATCACAGATATGCTCTGGTGGAGGTCCAAAACCTGTCATTGCAAAAGGAAGTGTTCCACAAATAAATGCAGTTGTAAAAGCAAGGGACTCTTGTGCAATTCAAAGTGTCATAATAGTTGAAGTTGTTGCAATAAATAAGATTTGAATCACATAAGTAAGTAATTTTTTTATTACTATTATTTTCTTTTCTCGTGTAGAATGTACCGTGTATTTTAAATTCTTGGTCATTCCTTTCAGAAAGAGAGGCGAAAAAGTTACGTCACCCTTGTGGCGTTTTATAGCGACTGAATTACGGAGAAGAAAATATAAATCTCCAACATGTTCAACATTCACCATTAGTGCATGGTGAATGTCAACATTTACCGGTGTAAGTCAGAAATAAGGGTATTTAGCAAATATTTCGGACATACACCAAGCGACTATGTGAATGTTGACATTCACCGGTGAAAGTCGACATTCTCCAGATTTCGGTGT